CTAAGTCTGAATACTATTCAATGGACTCTCGAGCATATCCATATACTGTATAGATGGACTATTATATATTTTGGGCTTAGGTTTTTAGGTTGCTAGAATGGATAGGTGAAAGGTTGATTGGGGTCTCACTTGGCTAGCTTAGTAACTACAGCTTAGAATGAATAAGTCTATAAAAATCTTACAGAAAATTGAGGAATGCTGCTGATCCCATGAGATTGATGGCCGTAATTATAAAGCCACCTCGTCAAATTTGTTTTGCGTCACTAAAGGTTCTCCGTATGCATGTGGAACTGCCTGTAGTGGTTAGATAAAAGCCCTTAAAAGATATTCTGTTCCAAACAGGGGTCAGACCCATTTTTGGTAAAACTAAATTCTATGAAATTCATGTGGTGTCTCGTCAAATATATCTGAAGGAGATGGTATATTTGTTGCATGTGTTCGAGAGAACCATCCACATTAATGTTGTTTTTTAGCTTTGATTGGTGCTTTGATTGGAGTTGGCAATCCTTTGCCGTGGAACTCCAGTAATTTAGGACCGGTTGTCGTGTTAATTCCACTGGAAATGCTGTTCACTGCCGCTTACTTTAAAGGCAATAATCATTGATGAGAATATTAAATGAATTCGACTGTATAAAACTTATTCGAAAGTGAGGTGCCACTTTTTTGTACAATTATTTGAAATTTTATAAAAAAAAAAAAATATCTTCATCTGTTAACCTGGTTGCTAAGGTTTTGACATGCTGTCAAGTGTCAAAAAAGGCTCGAAATGGAATTGAAGATACGAGCAAATGGTCTTTTCGAGGCGGCAGCAGCTTCTATACAGACCTAAAAGTTCCAAAAAAATTCCGAATTAGGAATAATGACTTTTGACGAATTTGTGGAGTTCTATTTAATCTGGATTTTTGTAGCAGCCGTTATGATGGCAGGAATCGTGCTATATCTCTATCGCATAATGTCTCAATATCGCGAAATAGAGCAAAGAAATGGCGTGGGTATGCGAGCCTTGAACGATGGCATACGCAGAAACCGTGACTCCGTTTAAAGAATCCACCCAGCCAGCCAGCTACCGAAGTTGCGCTCGACCACTACCTGTAACCAACACATATCCAACCACACCATATCAACTAAGTATAACATATCAGCACTGGSGTGCGAAAATCATGATATAGATTTAGTTTTTACTTAACGTTCTACTTTATTTATATTTCTCATATACTTTCATTTGTATATCATAAGTAAAGTATTGAAATTAATTTTCTTGACAATGACATATAGGTCGGCATAGGACCTTCTTGACATACCCACCTACCAGTTAAGGCTGTACTTTTGTAAACTATATTCATTTGTAATTTATAAAATGTACCCGATTTTATAATTTAAGTGATAAATGGTTTTTGTACACTCTTTTATGTATAAATTATGTTCGGAATTTTTGTTATTGTACTGTCTTACCACCACAAATGTCCATATCATATAAACTTGAGAGCATAAACGTCGCATTGTAGTTGGCGGCATATCGTCCATATATTCAATAAATCATTGAATCAACAGAGCATTGAGAAATTAAAACAATTTGTTTAAATGAAATCTATGAAAATTTCAGAAATTTCGAAAAAATAAATACTTTTTAAGAGAGCATGAAATTGCTAATTTAATCGATTCAAATTTTTTGAAAATTCTTCTTTTTTGACGTCAATATTTTTCCGAATTAAAAATAAATAAATTTAAAATAAATAAAATAAGTTTAAACTAAATATTTTTTCATCACACTAACTTTTTTTTTTGCACAGATTTCACAGAAGCTAAAAATAATACCGAATTTGAGCGATATTTAGTTTTCAAAATTTTATTAAAAAAATCTGATTTATTCTCTGCGCAGCTTATGTGTAGTTTTTTATTGGTTTTTTTTAAATAAAATTTTTAGCGAGATATTTAAAAAAAAAAAAATTCCAATATTTTATTAATAAAAGTTTTTTATTCTGATATTTGGTTCACTAAAAACTTTTTGACATATTTTTTTTTAATAAAACCTTTGTAGCAAGTAATTTTTATCAACATATTTTGCCAATATATATTTTTCACACTTCTAATCAATATATTAAAAAAAAATATATATAATGCAATTAAAAATAAAAATAGGAAATATTTTTTATACAACTTTTATACTGCAATTGTTTATTTAATATTGTTTATCGAGGAGTTTTTTAATAAAAATTTTAATTTATATATTTCTTTAATAAAAATGTTTGTAACAGATAATTAAAAAAAAATTTTAAAAAGTTAAAAAATTGGTTTAATAAAAAAATGTATTAACATATTTTTTCTTAAAGAATTTTTATTGTCGTATTTTCTTAAAAAACATTTTTATCGAGATATTTTTTGAATAAAATTTTTATCGATATTTTTTTCGTCAAAAAGTTATATTAATCCTTTTTTTTGTATAGAAATTTTTTTTTGTATTTTTTTATGTTTTATAACATATTTTTAATAATTTGTTTTTTCAAATATTTGTTTAACTAAAATTTTGTAAATGAGATATTTTTTTAAAAACTTTCTTCGAGTAATTGTTTTAACAAAATTTTCTATCAATATATTTTTTTAAATTATAATATCGAAAACTTTTTTACAGTTATATTTTTCCGAATTTTTCGGCATCATTTTTCATAAAAATCTTTTATAGAGCTATTTTTATAATAAAGAATTTTATGGAATAATTTTTAATACAAATTTAATATCGAGAGATTTTGCAAACAAATCTATTTATCGATATATTAGGATACTGTTTAAGTAAACGTGTTTTTAAGAGCTCTTAAAAAAAAATGTATCTGTTTTTTCAAAAACAAAAAAAAAATTTCAGTGATGCAATTTTGAAAACATTTTTTGTCGAGTTATATTTGTTACAAATGTTAAAAAAATTTATCGACAAAATTTTTAGTAAAATTTGTTTATTGCTTTATTTTCTTAATAAAATATATTTTGTCGGCGTAGCTTTAAAAAAAAAACTAATCGAAAAACTTTTTTTCATCGAATTGATCGACTCATTTTTTAGTAAAAATTGTTTATTTTTTTATTTTTTCATAAACAATTTTTTATCGGCATAGCTTTTTAAACAAAATTTTATCAAAAAACCTTGTTCACAAATCTTTTATCGACAATCTTTTTAAATAAATTTTTTAACGATTCATTATAATTTTTAATAGATTAATTTTAATAATAAAAATTTTTTTGGATACATTTTTCCTAAAAAAAAACTTTCGCGCAATTTTATTAATACAAAATTTTTATCGGGCTATTTTCATATATATTTATTTGGAACTTAAAAATTTTAATGTTTATATGATCTGTCTCTTATACACATCTAGATGTGTATAAGAGACAGATACTTTATAAAATAAATTTTTATTAAAAAAAAAATTCAAAACCTCTATGACGAAAAATTTCAAAATATATATTTTTTTATTTTTCACTTAAATGCTCTTTTTGAACACCTGGCAACTTCGTCGCTTATTAAACGATGAGCAACGAAATATCCGCCAATTTACAGTAAACAGAAAGTGAACACAAAGCATGAGTATGAAAGAAAATGTGCATAAAGTAAAATCAAAAATAATTCTAAATATTTTTATAAAAAAATAATATAGCTTTCTTATAACGCAAAGGACAAACAAATACAAGTATGCTACTTGACACGCCCCTTTTCATCATTTTAGGATTTCTTATGCTTGGTCTAAGCGCGCTCTTCTACGTGTTCATCTACAACAAGTGTGAAGTGTATCGTAGACGCGAGACGCGGTTTCATGCAGTAAATGGTGTGGGAATGCGCACACTTCAGGCCACCGCCAGAGAAGTGGAGGTGGCTGAGGCGGCTGACGAAATTCAGGATGGAATAAATATATAATATATACACTTCAATATTTAAAAAATTCTTGAATTAAGTGACTAATCATTACAGACCCGAACAAGAATTATTATCTGGGCAGTATTTCTAAAACTTTTAAGAAACCTCTTATATCAATGTTACAACATTCAATCTAAACCGATCCCAGTTTAAGTAAGATTCGGTCGTAAGGTAGATACATTGCTAAAAGTGAATAAAAAGATTATAAACCGACGAAGCCTTTGAGCTTACCACAAATTTATGAAGGGCTTTTCATTTCCAGCAACGGATATGTATGAGATTGCCTAATCGGCTTAATTCGTGGCTAGAAACTAGAATGGTTAATATGCTACAATATAGAGTAGCTAGCTTTCTGGTTTTTAGATATTTTTTTGGTAAAGTTTAACGGAGAAACTTATGGAAGGGTCGGTATATTTCTCTAAGTGAGAGCTTTCATAACTCCTTCCTACGTTGAAGCCTGTCAAGCAATATGAGCGAAATCTTAGACGTGCCTTTCAGTACTTCTAGATATAATGAGAAGTTCACGCTTGCTGCGCTAAAATATTGTTTTCGCATAGAAAACTAGTGATTTTTATATTGGGAAAAGCTTTCAAGCCACTTATTTTTAGAAGCTTGTGAAATTAATTTTAATTGGTTTTCCAGAAATATCAGATTTTCTTTAACCTCTAACTATCGAGCACTAAACTCTTTTAAGCCCTAATTATGTTAGTTGAAAACACGAAAAGAGCTTTTGCGTTCAAGAAGCTTTAAAAGCTTATGAAAGTTTATGCCTTCAAGTGAAACGACTTGACGACTTACAACTACTCTCACTTCTAAGCACTAATTATCCGAAAGTCCGAAATAAACTTTTGTGTTCGAAAAGCTCTGAAATCTTATGAAAGTTATTGCCGTAAATAACGATGGTTTTTAACATTCTTTGCGTTGGCTTCCCTTTAGATTTAACTTCGAAACCCTCAGCTTTTTGCTATCTTCTTGTTTAGCCTTTTCTCCACTTCTTTTCTCCAATGCGATAAATTGGCAGCACTGTTCTCGTTTTGGCGCAATTGCTAAGAGAGAACCCTAACGGGAATGCGCATTATGCGAATGCATTTTAAAAGCAAACAAGGCTAAACAGGATTCAAACATGTATTTTGGTTATGAATATCTATTCTTTCTGACATTCCCTCTGTTGATGCTAACATTCGTATGGTTTCTGTGGTCGGAAGGTAGTGATTATGCAGATGCTGTTGGTGTTGGTGCTGTGGGGCGCACGCATTCGAGTGGTGACTTAATCTTGGAATTTGATGAATTTTCCGATAGTGAAGGGGACAGTGACGACGATATTGATGAATATTATGTCGAAGATGGTGATTTATTTCTCAACGTCGAGGAGCCTTTTGAGTTCGAACTGCCTGAGGTACAGTTCCGGCGGGAGCGGGATCAAGCTGATCTGCAGCTTTGTAAATTAACATGGAGGCAGGGTTAAAAGTAAACGTTTAACTGAACTTTTATTAATAATTCTTCTCACTAATAGGCTTTGTGCTGCCAATTTCACATAAACACACACGCATACATACAAACATACTCAAAAATTGGTGGCAACTGAGTGTGTTGAGAGTTCTGCGCGCGATTTACCAAATTTCGTTTGAAATTACAGTTATTACGAATGCTGAAAAGTTATTACGATTTTTTTTTTTGTTTCAATTCCTACAATTTTAAAATATTCATATTGTCTCTTGGAAAATCATATTTTTTTACATTTTCTATTTGTCTCACAAATTTTTTTAAATTATGAATTAAAAATTTTAAATGAAATGTTCTTTGAAAAAATGTGTATTAAAATAATTTCCAAAAATCTAAAGTCTGAGAAAAAAATTTTCTTAACGAAAATTCTTTTTGTATGCAGATTTTTAAAAATCTCAAAACTATTTTTTATATGCAAACTAAAGAAAAATGTTGCCTTTCTTGAATTTAACTATTTAATATTTTAATGAAAATACTATTTGAAAAAATGTTTTATAAAAAATATTTCCAAAAATTTAGTGTCACCGATAAAAAAGTTTTAAAACTTAAGAATTTTTTAAATGCAAATTTTAAAATTTGTCTATTATTAAAGAAGAAAGTGTTTGAAAAAATGTGTTTTATAAAAAATATTTCCAAAAACTTGAGTGCCACTAAAAAAACTTTCAAAACCAAATTATTTTTTAAATGCAATTTTTTAACAATTTAATGTGTTTACGTTTACTATTTACAAAAATTATTGAAGAAATGTGTCTTATAAAAAATATTTCCAAAAATTTATCATCACAAAAAAAATCAAAATTAAATTATTTTTTAAAAACAATTTTTTATATTTTTTTAAATAAGTAAATGTATA